TTTTGGAGCGGGACCAGTTGTTTAGAAAAATAAAAAAAAAAGAACACGTGACAGCAGAAGACCCACCCGGCTGTTTTTCACCTGGAAGGAACCCAAATTCACTATAATCATTAGGGGCGGAACTACCTTGGGACTTGGGGGGGATTTTTTTGTTCATTTTTTTAATGTTTTTTTATTTTATATTATTAATTCTCTACTAATTTTATCTTGTAGCCCCCAAAAAAATATTTTAGCCCCTGATAATTATCTAGATTCCGTGGAATGGGTTCTAGTTTCTACTCGTTTTGTGTAAAAATACAGTTTATGATGCACTACAATCTGATATATACAAGCCAAAAAACACATATTATGATCAGCTTGCTTCAAAATGTAGAGCTCGAATGGGATAAAACGGGTAGAAAAGTGATAATAGTCCATATAATCAAGAAGATTCCATAAAATTTGAAACCGCAAGGGTGGACATGTAAGAAGATTTTTAGTTGAGGGGTGGTTGTAATTACCCAAACAAGAAGGGGGTTTTCGTAATTTGACCATACCTCGTGGGTGACTGTAATTTACCCATATGAATAATAATGTATTTACCCATGATCTGTGTATTTGTTTTTTGTGAGTATATGAATGATATTCGATCTTGATTAAAAAATCTGAAGGTGCTGTTCTCTTGTATCCATGGTCGTGAAATCTGCAAGTAGTGATAGAATCAAATTTATTAAAGCCAATATATAAAATCTAAAATTTAATTAATTAAATCATATATCTTGACACGAAATTTGTACGGATTTTGGTTCTAATGTTAGAGAATTGTTTGCTAGCTGCTAGTGCTGGCAACTGGGTTTATGTCAGCCGAGCTTGGGTTGATATTTCTGGAAACCATGCACATTCATTAATTTTCTTAATACCAGTGCATTAGGCCAAAACGACAAATAAAATGAGAAGGAGAGTATTTCGTTGAAGGGTATATTTGTCCTCTTACCTTTGGGCACTGACTAAAATCATAATGGTGCACTGATCCACTAAAAAATTATACTAAAGAGTTTTTGCTAGTTTTTATAACGTAGGGACTTATTTAGCAATTCGAGATTGCAAAGGGGTAATTTTTGCAATTTGCTTTTATTGTTTATCATAAGTGATTTTGGTGGGAGCTTGTTCTCTAACATGCTTACATAAATTTAGAACCTAAGATAAAATCAAAAACATTAATATATAAACTGAAAAAATCTCTAGAAAAGTTAGCAAATCGAAAGCGCAGTAATATCAATATTGTGCAACTAACGTTCCATGATAGGATAGACTATTGCGCAACAGCTTGGACAGAAATTTCTATATCTAGAAGACAAGAGTCGTTGACAATGAATCTTTTTTCAGAATCATTAATTTCCGCAATCTCGATGAATGAAGACCATCCCCAACTATTATCCGAAGCTGAAAACCATAGATTATCGGCTGCAAGACAAAAAAACAAATGTGAGAGATTTGAAAAAAACAGAAAGAATAGAAAAATTTATTGTTTTATATTATGCCCCTAATATGTAGTCCTACAATGTGGTTGGAACTGTTTCGGGAAATTTACAGTTTTCATATATCCCTCATATTTGTAACGATTTCACATTTGGTCCCCATGAACACACAAAACACATTCGGCCACTCATGTTTCAAAAATTCGAAAAAGTCAACACCGAAGACCGGCGGAAAAATCATGAAGAAAAAAAAAAACAGAAAGAAAGTCAACGGCGGCGACGGACGAAATTGTAATCAAAATTTTGTTTTGGGTCAAAATAGAATAATTTGTGGAATTTGGAGTCAAAATTGAGGTTGAATTAAATTAAAGGATAAAATTGGAGCATATTAAAATGTGATGGGCTATTTTGGTCTTTTATAAACCTCTGGACAATGTGTTAATTTTTTTATAAGAGTTTTTTGCCCGGACTCCTTTATGAATAAATACCCATTGATGGGCTTATTTGTAAAGTGTTCATATAATTAAATGAGAAAAGTACAGTTCTCACCCCTCAAGTTTGCACCAATTTCACATTTGGTCCCCATATTCACAAACAATGCATTTGGTCCCCATGTTTCAAAACTTCAACACTTTTAGCTAAAACTAACTGAATCAAGCGTGTGCCCATCACGGCCTTAACTAACGGACTAACGGTAAATTGACGGAAAGGACCAAAAGTGTTCATTGTGAACATGGGGACTAAATGTGAAATCCGTGCAAACTTGAGGGGTGAAAACTGTAATTTCCCCATAATTAAATAGTATAAATGTATAATCAGGAAAGCTTCCACAAGCTATGAATCTTCCTAATAATATTCATTAAGGAATATTTATCCTACAAAAGCATTGGAAATTATCAATTGTTGAAACATAGGAGAATTTAGTGAATTCTTCATTTTAAAATTCACAAATAAACTTACAGACTCTTTTGCAGTATCCACCGGGATTCTCGTGGTTTTTGATAAATACAGTAAAGGGTGCCTTCACTCTTTCGGAACCAAGGTGCTGCAAAAATACGGAGACAGAACGACCGGTTGCCTCTCCATTTCCTTTTGGGTAAAGATTAATCTTCCTAATATTATTTATCAATAGATTAATTAAAATTGCAAGCGCAAGAATTAAATCACTTTCTTTTTTAGAAAGATAATTGCAAAAATACTAAACAAAATAACGTTACCATTTGTGGCCTCCGGCAGAAAATTGTTCGGAATTCCAAACTTTTCCGAGTTTGGAGAAGTTTGGAATCTTCCAATTACGCTTTTAAGGTGTCACGACATTCTTTAAAGACAGACATTCAGTGATTGCTAGTTGTCTTTCAACGACAAAAACCTCGGCACCAAGCACACAATTGTCATCGACTAGGTATCCGTTTGATGGATCTGACATAACTTTCTTAGAAATAAATTTGGAAATACCCCATTCCGACTTCATTGCTTGGAAACGTCTTGTTGTTCCTATTCATATAAATGGCAATTATATATTATATTTGGTACTGTAAGGCCTCGTTTGGTTGGCCAAGATAAGATTATATAATCTAATAAAACGCAATTATATTATTGGACCTTCGATGATCCAATAAAAAACATACCAAGAAGGTAAGATAAACTATGATAACATAATATTTGCGGGTCGACCTGACAAGTTATTGGGGATACCAAATATCAAACAAAGTCCAATCATTTAGTTAATCATTACTAATCTCCCTAACCAAACGAGGCCTAACTGGATTGAGGTGCAAACAAAGTCTCGCAATGGTTCAATATGGGAAAGATCATTGGTTTATAAAGTAAGGATAACAATCTATTGGTATGGGGCCTCTTGGAGAAACCCAAGAGCAAAATCAATTGGGCGGCCCAGATTAGACAATATCATACCAGTGTGGAGTTTATGCTATCCATGTGCCCCAAACAAAATGGAGGGATGTTTCTAATTTACATAACTAATTAAAATGATTAGCATAGAGATCAACATAAGAACTAAAATACCTAGTGAACAAAGATAATTGCCCGAAATCGGATTAAACAGAAAGATACTGAAGACCACGTTGACCTCCAAGTTTGCAGGCAGTGAACTTGTATCCGCCATAGCCAAGTATACAGAAACATAGTTGTTAAGTGTATATTTTTACACTTTATCGTACCTTTTTATTTGAGCTTTTGGTGTGATTTAATGATAATTGGTGCTTAAAAAGTTGATTTATTGTATTTTAGGTACAAATTGAAGAATTGGAAAAGTATGGGGTCAAAACTGCAGTTTTGGAGAAAATATGGGCCAAAAGTGAAATAATCAAAAATCTGAAGAAATTAGCACGGGACGGCCGTCCCAGATTTACACTTAAAACTAGGACGGCCGTGCCAACTGCAGAACTTGGGCAGAAGGTTTCGGCGATTCTCGCGCGGTCGCGCCAAAACACGTTGGAGACAATTTTGGACTTTTAATCACACAAGGAAACCTAAAATCATCTATCAAGTTGGGACATCTATTTAAGCCCAAACCAAGCACGAATTAGAGGACTTTTGACACAACATTGGAGCGAGAGGAGCGAGAGAACGAAGAATCGAAGACGGAGAATTGACAAATCTTCATCACAATTCTTCTTTCATCTATCTTTTCTTAATCTATTTCTTTTTATGTTTTTATGATGTTTTTCGTAGAGAACATGAGTAGCTAAGTTTTTAATCTAAGATTTTGTTGGAACCCTATGTGGGGATGGTGAACCCGTTTTCTTGAGATTATGCAATTATGATTTTATGATTATTTCTTATACTTGTTATGATTGTTAGTGCATGAACTTGATCAATTTATGTGCTTTATCTGTGATTATTGGGATTGACTCGACAGAGCAATTTTGATAATTAGACGGTTAGTATAGGAGCCTTCGAGTAGTTTTCACCGGATGAGTGTGTCAATTGCATGTGGTGTCGTAGACATACAAATATCACCTTAGGTAGCCATTTACGAGACTTGTTAGTTAATGCTTTATTCATAATTTGTTCGCATAGACACATAGTGAACCGTTTATGAATAATAGACTCATAATACACGCGACAACGGGTTGTGAGTAAATTAGTGTCTCGGATTAATAATCATGAATCATATATTTCATAATTGAGGGATTTTGGGTGAGCAATTCTTGCATAGGGGGAAGATCAAATCCTAGATCCGTTTTTATATTGATATTTTTCTCGTGATAATTCGTTTTCTTAATTAGTTTAATTGTTTAATTGATTAAATTTGACAACTTTGCGTAGGCTGGATAAAAATCATAATTGTTAGAATTTGGTACTTAGGATTAGATAATTTGAGTATTCCCTGTGGGATTGACATCCGACTCTCACGAGTCCACTTTTACTACTTGTTTGCGATACGTGCACTTGCGCCTACCGAATGCGCTAGGAAATATCGTCAACGAACAAGAGCAACTTCAGCTAATTAATCCACCACCTCGTCAACGAGCATTGCATGAGTACACCGTTCCAACACTCAATGGGTTTCAATCAAGCATCCAACAACCCACCATTGAAACCAACAATTTCGAAATTCGAGCGGGACTCCTTACTATGCTCCAAAACAATGGGTTGTTCAGCGGATTAGCTCATGAAGATCCGCATCTCCACTCGGTCAATTTTCTCGAGACTTGCGACTCGCATAAGATGAACAGAGTTTCACCCAAAGCACTGCAACTCCGCCTGTTCAAGCACTCTTTACAAGGTGCAGCCCGAGAATGGTTACAAACTCGTGCACCACATTCCATCTCATCTTGGCCTCAGCTAGCGCAACTCTTCATGAACACATATAACTCCCCAACCAAAACTGAAAGAATCCGGAGAGAAATACAAAATTTCATACAAGAAGCCGGTGAAGCGTTATTCTAGATGTGGGAGCGGTTCAAACAATTAATTCGGAGATGCCCGAATCACGGACTTCAAGAGTGGCGCCAGCTGCAAATCTTCTACGATGGATTGCAAGATAATTCGAGGACTGTGCTCGATTCTGCAGCTGGAGCAATGTCCATGAGTTTGACATATGACGAAGCATACGAACTCTTGGAGCGAATCGCTAGAAATAAATACATGCGGGCATCGGACCGGTCAAATAGCGGAGCCCTTAAGACGAGAGGAATTTTGGAGTTAGACGGGGTCACCACAATCACTGCCCAGTTAGAAAAGCTATCAAAGTAAGTAGCAACTTTGCAGACTCAGCAAGTCCATGCAGTGCAAGGTCCTAACCAGTGCTTAGAAGAAACGGAGTCTCTAAATTACGTGAATGACACCAACCGACAACAGAGGAACCCGTACTCCAACACTTATAATCCGGGATGGAAAGATCACCCCAACTTTGGATGGGGAGGAAATCCGCAAGGACAAAGGCAAGCACCACCTCAAGGTCAACCTCCTAATTATTCACGGCCAGCCCCCAGATTCCAAAATCCGCCTCAAGTTCAACCTCAAGGTGGAGATCTCGCAAATATCTTGGCGCAATTTATGACAACCACTCAAGTCTCCATCCGAAATTTGAAAACACAGATGGTTCAACTTGCGACCCAGCTAAACGCGAGGCCATCGGGAGCACTGCTGTCGAATACGGAAGATCCTCGAAAGAGCAACATCGAGCAGTGCAATGCTGTAAGTTTAAGGAATGGGAGACAATTGGAGGAAGCCCCACGAAAAGAGAAGAGCAGCACGGTAATCGAGAAGCCAAGAGTGATGGAGGCAAAAGAAACAACTCAATAAGAACCACCGTCAACAGTGATTTCAAGAACCCCTCCAATTCCATACCCTCAAACGTTTCTCAAGAAGAAGCTCGATGCCGAATACCAAGGGTTTTTGGACAAGTTGAAGGAGATTCACATAAATATCCCTTTTATCGAAGCCCTTCAAAAGATGCCAAAGTGGGTGAAATTCCTGAAGGATCTCGTGACAAAGAGGAAGAAATTGCAAGGGAACGAGATGATCCAACTCACGGAGCAATGCAGTGCAATTCTTACATGGCCCCTTCCACAAAAACTCGGGGATCCAGGTAAGTTCACTATTCCTTGTACTATAGGGGGTAAAAATTTTAGATCGCTCATTGATTTAGGCGCTAGCATTAATCTTATGCCTTATTCTACTTATAAAAATCTTGGGTTAGGTGAGATTGAACCGACGGCTATAACTCTTCAATTAGCCGTTAGGTCTTTAGTTTACCCAAAAGGTATTTTAGAGAATGTGCTAGTAAAAGTGAACACATTTATTTTCCCTGTGGATTTCGTTATACTTGATATAGATGAAGATAGGGAGATACCTCTTATTTTAGGAAGGCCGTTTTTAGCCACGTCGAAAACTCTAATTGATTGTGCTAGTGGTGATCTTACAATGACGGTGCATGATCAAACGATCAAATTTAACGTTTGTAGTGCTAATAAAAATCCATGTGATAATAATGATTGTTTTGCTATTGATCTTATGGATTTTACAAATCATGAAAATTTTGACGTTTTGATCTTGGACCATGGGAAAGCATCTTTGAGTGCAGGAGATGATGGCGGAAACGGGAGTCGGAAGGAGCAAGTTTATTTTATGAACTCAATTTCAACTCTTCCGAGAGATAGTCAAAAGAGTTGGGATTTTAAAGACGATGTTGGCAAGCCTCATGATATCAAGAAGAATAAGCGAACCAGTCGAAAGAAGAATCGGATCAACCCATTTATTCAAGACTACCTCCAAAAGGAAGTACGGAGATGGGTTCAAAAGCTAAGGAATTGAAGAGCAGGAACAAAGTCTGGTTGAAGACTATAAACTTAGCGCTTCTCGGAAGGCAACCCGAGATTTTCGTTTTTTTATTTATTTTTCTTGTTTTATTTCATTTATTTAATTTTTAAGCATGCAAGCTAACAATTTAAGCATATTTTTAATTTTCAGGTCAAGAAATTGCAGCCCTGGAGCTCATACGGCCGTCCCAAAACAAAGCCAAAATCTCATACGGCCGTGTGGCAATCGGAAAAATCTACTGCCCAATTTTCACTTTGCGCACAACCGAGCGAGAAAAACACTATGATCTCACACGGCCGTGCGAGAAACGGACAGCTACTGCCCCAATTTTGCGATTCGCACGGTCGTGCGAAAATCAGTTCAAAACTGACACGGCCGTGCCAGATGGACAGAAGCACAATAAAAGGCGAAAATTTCAGTAGCCCAGACATGGCCAAGACGACTAATTCAGGTGTATTCTATCCTTAAACTTTGTGCTAATTACATTGAGGGCAATGTAAATTTTAAGTTTGGGGGTGGAAAATTACTTGCTTTTATGCGGAAAATTACTGGCTTTTATGTGCTTTAATTTATTAGTTTGCATGCCTTAGTTTTTTTTATTTTTTTATTTGAGTTATTTTATTTTAGTTATTTCTTTCGGAAAAAAAATGTTTGAGATAAATTCTTCGATGAATCATGATGATGAAAGATGGTCGATGTTTAATGATGAAATTGCTTGCTTTATCTTGATTTTGATCGAATTTTGGTGAGTTTTCGATTCAAAGTGTCGTAGGAAGGAGTCATTGTTAGGAATCTCGAATTATGCGTTGCTTTGGTTGAAAGTTTTGTGTTTTAAAATTTGAGTTAATTGATGCTATATCATATGCTATTCGGTTTTGGAACATGCCTTAGGAATTTACAAAGTGAAATATTAAATTGTTGAGCAATTTGGGAAGTGATTTGGGCCATCTTTGAACCGTTTGAGCCTTTCAAGCCTACCTTTAAATTTTTATCATTCGAACCTTGATTGAGCCTTGGAGAAACGGTGTTCTTTCTTTTAGCCAATGTGTATAAGGTAGAATAAGTGGAGATTTTTGAAAAATTAACCCTTGGAGTTCGGTCGAAATTTTTTTATAAGGCCCTTCTTCTTCGAAAAAAAAAAGAAAAAAAAAAAGAGAAAAAGGAGACAAATATATATGCTTCTATATAAAAAAAATTAAAAAAAAAAAAGAAAGAAAAAGAAGAAGAAGAGACTAGAAAGGGAAGTAAGGACTAGTTGTTGAATTGTTTTGAAAGCTCGATACATTGTCTTAAGAGCAAAAGTGGAGACTTTTGAACTCTTAAGAATTGAGTTTATTAAAGTCGTTAGAGGTGAATTCATTGTTTCAAACGCCTATCTTTCAAAATTTGGCGTAATCACCTCAATTCAACAAGCATAGCCACCTATACCCATATCTCCTACCTCGAACCAAAAAGCCCAACGTTTGAAAGCCAAAAAGTCCCAATGATCCCAATAGCTCAATTATTTGATACTAGCCGAGTAAAGAAATTTGGTGAGTCTTTGGAGTTGAATATTATTATGTAAGTATAAATTTTCTCCATTTTTAATGTACAAATATGGGATACTTGAAGCGATAGCATGGTTTGTGGTTTTTAGCAATGGTGAGTGAATACGTATCTTTGAATTACGAGCTTGTAAATTTTTGAGAATTGTCATGATAATTGCAAGTTCTGAAAAAATGAAAATTGACCATTAATCTATATGATGAGAGGCATTTGTTGAGAGTGTTGCTGTGAAAGTGGCTAGTTTTTGCTTGAGGACAAACAAAAGATCAAGTTTAGGGGTGTGTTAAGTGTATATTTTTACACTTTATCGTACCTTTTTATTTGATCTTTTGGTGTGATTTAATGATAATTGGTGCTTAAAAAGTTGATTTATTGTATTTTAGGTACAAATTGAAGAATTGGAAAAGTATGGGGTTAAAACTGCAGTTTTGGAGAAAATATGGGCCACAAGTGAAATAATCAAAAATCTGAAGAAATTAGCACGGTACGGCCGTCCCATATTTACACTTAAAACTGGGACGGCCGTGCCAACTGCAGAACTTGGGCAGAAGGTTTCGGCGATTCTCGCGCGGCCGTGTGAGAATTGTACTGATTTTCGCGCGGCCGCGCTAAAACACGCTGGAGACAATTTTGAACTTTTAATCACACAAGGAAACCTAAAATCATCTATCAAGTTGGGACATCTATTTAAGCCAAACCAAGCACGAATTAGAGGACTTTTGACACAACATTGGAGCGAGAGGAGCGAGAGAACGAAGAATCGAAGACGAAGAATTGACAAATCTTCATCACAATTCTTCTTTCATCTATCTTTTCTTAATCTATTTCTTTTTATGTTTTTATGATGTTTTTCGTAGAGAACATGAGTAGCTAAGTTTTTAATCTAAGATTTTGTTGGAACCCTATGTGGGGATGGTGAACCCGTTTTCTTGAGATTATGCAATTATGATTTTATGATTATTTCTTATACTTGTTATGATTGTTAGTGCATGAACTTGATCAATTTATGTGCTTTATCTGTGATTATTGGGATTGACTAGACAGAGCTATTTTGATAATTAGACGGTAAGTATAGGAGCCTTCGAGTAATTTTCACCGGATGAGTGTGTCAATTGCATGTGGTGTCGTAGACATACAGATATCACCTTAGGTAGCCATTTACGAGACTTGTTAGTTAATGCTTTATTCATAATTTGTTTGCCTAGACATATACTGAACCGTTTATGAATAATAGACTCATAATACACGCGACAGGGGGTTGTGAGTAAATTAATGTCTCGGGTTAATAATCATGAATCATATATTTCATAATTGAGGGGTTTTGGGTGAGCAATTCTTGCATAAGGGGAAGATAAAATCCTAGATCCGTTTTTATATTGATATTTTTCTCGTGATTATTCGTTTTCTTAATTAGTTTAATTGATTAAATTTGACAACTTTGCGTAGGCTGGATAAAAATCATAATTGTTAGAATTTGGTACTTAGGATTAGATAATTTGAGTATTCCCTGTGGGATCGACATCCGACTCTCACGAGTCCACTTTTACTACTTGTTTGCGATACGTGCACTTGCGTGTTAGGTATTTAGCCCCAACAATAGTCGCGGTCTTTACCGATAATGTTGTCGCCGTTAGGATAGATTATTAGTCTCCTGCACAAGTTCAAATATTGATTTTATCATGCAATTCTTTGAATATTGAAGCAAAAATAAGTAATATTTTATTTATTTTTTGTAAAATTGTATGATTTTGACAATAATATTTTAATAATAAATATGAAAAAGTATATAAATTTATATGAAATAATAGAGAGAAATTAAAAAAATGAGGGGTCAAAACTGATATTTACACAAGATTGAGAAGCAAAAACCTAAATATTAAACATATTACTCAAAATTACTAAAAAGAAAAAAGAAAAATTAAATCTTGGGGGTCCGCAGCCGCGCTGCCCCTGTTAACGTTCCGCCACTTATTTTAACGGAGAATACATGCGCGAGTTTATTATATTGCTGACAAAATTGAATTATTGGGGTGTTGAATGCTAATATTAATAACACAAGAGTTGTTTTAGCAAATTCGATAAAAAATAATAAAATAATAAAAAACCCAAGGAGAAGGATTCAATCTTGATTTGGAAATTCGAAGGTGCTGCTTCTCTTGTTTCCATGGTCGTCAATTCTGCCACGAGAACTAATACAATCAAATAAATTCAGACTCTCTCTCTCTCTCTCTCTCTCTCTCTCTCTCTCTCTCTCTCTCTCTCTCTCTCTAAAAAGAAAAATAATATAGTTTGGTGTGCTAATATATTTGTTTCGGTTGATGTCTATCAATTCTTAAGCATGGAGAGAGTTCTTGTGCAATACGGAGTTTATATTCCAATGTAATATAATAGTTTTTTTGACTGCACCTAATTATTTGATTACCTATTTACTCTACAATTTAATATATATTACGTTTCTTAGTGAAATTTAATATTAGGGATAATTAGCAAACCCCCTAATCTAGGAAAATGAGTTAAGAAAACACCCCGTCCCAAATAATTTGAGAAAACCCCCTTAGCTAAAATCCACCAAAGTGATATTTTCATAATTCCAAAACTACCCTTAATTGTCTAATATACTCTTTCAAAACCCTTTATTTTCTCTTTTCCGTCTCTTCTCTCGTCGTCTCTTCTCTGCTTTTTTATTTTTCTCTCTGTTATACTTTTCTCTCATTCTCGATCTTATCGGAAGATGAAGAACCAACCACCGACATCACCGCCAGAACAATGATGCCAATTCCGTTGAAGCCGTCGTTGCCGTTGCCATTGCAGTCTCCGTCGCCGTCGTTGCAGATCTTAACAAAAGCCATAAACATGATGATGATTTTGATAGCGGTTCTGAGTTCGAATGCCACGATTGCTACATCGGCGGCGAAAAGAGGTAAAATTGTCGATTGGATTTGGATTTTGATGGGTAGTTCTGCTTTGGTTGGTGGCTTTGTTTTGGTGATTTTGACCGTAGTACATGGTTCTGTTTTGATTGTTTGTATAAAAAACCGTTAGAATATGGAAGTGGGGTGGTGATGGTGTGGTGTGGCGACGACGTGGTGACGATGAAGAGCAGATCTAGGGTTTTTTGGTGGATTGTGGCGGAAGACGGTGCAGAAAAAGAAATTCGCGCAGGCAGGGCCTTTAATCGACTACGTGTGTTTAATCGACTATGTTCAATAGTCGATTAAGGCTTAATCGACTATGTTCAGTAGTCGATTAAGGTTAAGCGACTCCAGTTGTTAATTGTTTTTTTTTTTTTTTTGTTTATTGATTCCAATGTATAAATCAATTACTGTATATTTTTTTTAAATATAGTTGATTTTGCATTTTTTTGTAATTGTGATTTGTTATTTTTAATAGTTAAAATTTTAATCGACTATGCATTAATAAACCTGATAGAGAAAAAAATTAAAAAAACCTAAAAAAAAAAATTAAAAACAAAATTAGAAACAAAAAATAAAAAAATTAAAGATTTTCCTTAATCGACTATGAAGCATAGTCGATTTAAGACTAATCGACTATGCTTCATAGTCGATTAAAAAAACGGAAAAAAAAAAACACGAAGCGCTGACCCAGTGATGAGGTGGCGGGCGGGGGTAAAGCTGGAAAACATAATGGCTGAAAATGGGTGTGGACTTTTCTCAAATGGACTAAAATATTTTGGGCCTCCCTCAATTAAAAAAAATAGTAATGGTGTTTTCTCAAAGAGCCCCTTAATATTAAGAACATCAAAATTAAGAGGCTTTAGCATCCGGCAACCCTGTGTAATGTCTGATGGCTAAAAAACCCATATGTTAAAACAATTAGCACATACCTCCTATGTTACATAGTCAACGACATTAAGGCCCCTACGAGTTGGTCGTGTTATACACTCGCCAAATATGCAACTGGGGTTCGATTTTTTGACGTGAAATGACTCAAATACCCTTTATATTATAAATTTCAAAAATAAGCCCCAAATGGAGTTCTAATTTTTCTCAATTCAGTCCTTAGACTTTTAGAAAAGCCCTCTTCTCCAAAGTTAGGGGACTGAATTGCGAACTGAGAAAAAACCCACGTCCGCCCTTCGCCGCTTCTCACCACCCCAAAGCAGTGCCTCAACCCTTCGGAAGTACAAAATTAATTCCAATTCCAATTCCAAAAGGCCCGGAAATTTCAGAATTTCGGAAAAAATCGGAAATCACATAAGCTATAAAGTTTCAGAACTTAACAAAGTTTTTTTTAAAATGTTCATAAATTTTCAAAAGAAGAACATCCACGCCGATAAAAGTAAAACTAATAACTACTAAATTTGAGTTAAAAAAAATAAATAAAAATAAACACAACATAATATTCAATAAATATTATAACAACAATTCATTATGTCAAAATCCTAAAACAAAACTTATAGGTATATTTTTCGGATGATAAGCATTATATAATATATGGGAAAGTACAGTTTGCATCCCTGAACTATAGGGTTTGTCACAAACACCCCTTGAACTACAAAACGTAATAAAATGACCCCCTCCGTTTTCTTTATGTGTGGGTGATGTGACGTGTTGACTTTTTTCAATTTTAATCACTTTTGTGGCTGTATATATATATATATATATATATATATATATATATATATATATATATATATATATATATATATATATATATATATATATATATATATATATATATATATATATTACCAACAAATACCCAAAATTGAACCAAAAATCTTTACAGCACACAAAATCCTTTTTTATGGATAAAAAGTTAGAATATTTGATTTCCCAAATCTTTACAACACAACAAACATATAGTTTTTCTTTATCAGCCCACAAAATTGTATATTAAATCCTAACAAATCATGACCATAATGAAATATAGTGATGGAAATAAAAATATAATTAATTATAAAAAAGAATAAATAAAAAAAAAAAAAAAAAACCCAAGTCGGCTTATTATGCCTTTTCTTCTCCGATGGCTTATGCCTTCTCTAGTTCAAGCACACCAATCACTTGTGCCTTCCAAATAGCGAAATCGATTCTCCAGCGGACTCTTTTCCCTCTCCGACTCTTCAATTGTGCAATTCGGGTGCCCTTGAAATCTGATGTTGGAGTATGTCTTGTACCTTCCAAAGAATATTCCTTCTTGCGAATATCAGTGCTTTCAGCAAATCCTTATTTTTTATTTTTTTTAACGTCCAAAGAGCAATTGGCAATACTTTGAAATGATATTGGATATAACGGATCCGGATAATTTTGACCAATTATTGTCCAATTTGCCCCAAGTGTAGGATTTGACCACCGGTAAGATCAACAACTCTACAAGCAAGACCCGGTTCTTCTTGATAAGAGCACCAGCGAAACGATTTAAACTTCGACATAGGAAGAAGAGATGAGGGGCAAATATTGTCCCACCGGGCATGCCAATTTGTTAACCACAAATTTTTCCATCTGCAAAATATATAAATATAAGACAAGAAAAATATAAGAAACAAATAAATTTATTATCAAACGAAAGTTGATTACAATGTCCGGAAATTCCCATGATTCTTCTCTCTTATTCTAATTTTGATTCAAGGTCTTAGAAGCTTGTTCTTGAGTCCAACGAATAATTTCCTATCACGAACACCTTGAATTCAAATATGTTATGAATTCGAGGCGGAGGCTCGAGACGTGAGCTTGAGAGCTTGATATGTGTCTATGTGAGTCTGATTTTTGCATGTAGCCAAGACCTTCCTCTGTAGGCTCGAGCTAGGGTTTCGACTTGTAGCATGGGCAGGTGTAGGGGTGTGAACGAGCCGAGCTCGCCTCTTTTGGCTGGCTCGAGCTCGAGCTCGTATTAATTTTGTCGAGCTCGAGCTCGAGCCCAGTCTCTTTTTTTTTTTTTTTTAAATATTTTTTAATTATTATTTTATTATTAAAAATTATTTTAAAAAAATACAAAATAAAAACTAAATTGTGATTATATATATTTTTAATATTTGTATTTATTTCTATAATATTTTATATTATTATACATTATTTAAATAAAAATAACATATAAAAAATAAAAAAAATAATAATAAATCCGGCTCGCGAGCTGATGAACAACTAAAATCCGGCTCGAGCTCTGCTCGTCAGAAAGCTCGAGCTCGCCAGAAAGCTCGAGCTCGAGCTCGAAAATCTCGAGTCCGAGTTCGAGCTTTTTACGAGCCAGCTCGTCGAGCTCACAAGTCGGCTCGGCTCGTTTACCACCCCTAGGCAGGTGGACTTGAATAAGAATAAGAATTTATTATTTATTTATGGATTAAATTCCATTTAACACATTTGTAAAGCCCAAATAAATTGTGGCCCTTGATTTGAGACCCGATTAATAACCGGTCTATTTGGCCATTAATAGGTGATTTTTTCTGAAATTTTGGTGTCAACAGTAACTTCAACCAAATATTTTAGACACCTTCAAGAAGAGGATCAATGGCTTTCATTAACCTGCAATTGCAAAATCAAAACAAAAAAAAAACTTATTTTAGTGGAAATCAACAAAAATTGAAGAAATATCAAAACACTCAACATTCAACAAACACTAAGAGATCGAGAGAGGCCATAGCTACAAAATGCTACGGATTTTAGACCAATCCGTCAATAACTTCTCACCCCAAGCGCCTCCTTCAAAAACTCTAGCCGCCGCTAACCACTCAAGGTTCCTCCCTCACAAATGAAAAAAATTATAGAAATAAATTTGACAGTAAAAAAATGAACGAAATTGCCATCAAAATATAGATCTTGACGAGAGGAATCCAACGGTGGGTAGCCCGTCAAATTCCGACTGCCGGAACACAAATTACACATCCGGCAAGACCCACCGACGTTGAAAATACGGGCTAACCATAAAACAATTGCAGAAACAGATCGAAAGCTCCAAACTGAATGAAATCGCCACCAAAATAAAGAGCTCGACGAGAGCAATCCAACGTTATTTAAACCATCGAATTCCGACCACCAGAGAGAGAGTTATGGCTCCGGGAAACAATTTCACCTGTTGGAGATCTATAGGGGTGGGGTTTGAATCTGAGAGTTGAGAGAGGAAGAGATGACTATGAGTGACTAAGGTTTAAAAATGATTTTAAAAGGGTATTTTAGGTACTTCAAGGTGAGCTTGGGGGTTCTGTCAAATTAATTTCAAAATGAAGGGGGTATGCACAAGTATGTAATTAACTTGGTAGTTAGTTATACATAATTTCCATATGAGGGGTCCTTAAAATAATTCCATATATTATACTATTCGTAAATTAGTCAAAATTTTCTTTTTTTTTTTTTTTTTGGAGGAAAGAGATGATAGTATTAGGCATCAACGGCCAAATTCGAGGGAAGGATAGAGCCTTCCAAATATTCTTCAACATGAATAAAGGCTAAATTATGAGCAAGCGAATTACCCAAGTGTTGGGTGCTAAATACCCACACGCAAGTGCACGTATCGCAAACAAGTAGTAAAGTAGACTCGTGAGAGTCGGATGTCGATCCCACAGGGAATACGCAAATTATTTAATCCTAAGTACCAAATTCTAACAATTGTTATTTTTATCCAGCCTACGCAAGGTTGTCAATTTAATTAACTAAATAAATTAAAATAATTAAGAAAGCAAGTAATTACGAGAAAATATCAATAATAAACGGATCTAGGATTTTATCTTCCCCCTATGCGATAATTCTTCACCCAATTAATCTCCTATTATGCAAGTTACGATTCCCGATTATTAACCCAAGACACGAAATTATTCATAACCAGCTGTCGCTGCGCTATAAACCTATTATTCATAAAAGATTAACTATATGTCTATGCAAAC